TGGATTATACATGGAGATCATATCCCCCCCTTATGTATTATACATGGAGATCATATCCCCCCTTATGTATTATACATGGAGATCATATCCCCCCCTTATGTATTATACATGGAGATCATATCCCCCCTTGTATTATACATGGAGATCATATCCCCCTTATGTATTAACATGGAGATCATATCCCCCCTTATGTATTATACATAGAGATCATATCCCCCCTTATGTATTTATACATGGAGATCATATCCCCCCTTATGTATTATACATGGAGATCATATCCCCCCTTATGTATTATACATGGTGATCATATCCACCACTTATGTATTATACATGGAGATCATATCCCCCACCTTATGTATTATACATGGAGATCATATCGCCCCTTATGTATTATATCATGGAGATCATATCCCCCCTTATGTATTATACATGGAGATCATACACCCCTTATGTATTATACATGGAGAGACATATCACATCCCCCTTATGTATTATAATGGAGACATATCCCCCGGTCCTTACAATGATCATATCCCCCCTTATGTATTATAATGCAGATGGAGATCACATGCCCCCCTTATGGTATTACAATGCAGCACATGACACCCGGTCCTACACATGCAGCACATCATACCCCCTTAATCAGCACATACACCCGGTCCAATGCAGCACATGACCCCCTTATGTCCTACAATGCAGCACATGACCCCCCTTATGTCCTACAATGCAGCACATGACGCCCGGTCCTACAATGCAGCACATGACGCCCGGTCCTACAATGCAGCACATGACGCCCGGTCCTACAATGCAGCACATGACGCCCCTACAATGAAGCACATGACGCCCGGTCCTACAATGAAGCACATGACGCCCGGTCCTACAATGCAGCACGTGACACCCGGTCCTACAATGCAGCACGTGACACCCGGTCCTACAATGCAGCACGTGACACCCGGTCCTACAATGCAGCACATCACACCCGGTCCTACAATGCAGCACATCACCCGGTCCTACAATGCAGCACATGACAACCGGTCCTACAATGCAGCACGTGACACCCGGTCCTACAATGCAGCACATGACACCCGGTCCTACAATGCAGCACATGACACCCGGTCCTACAATGCAGCACGTCACACCCGGTCCTACAATGCAGCACGTCACACCCGGTCCTACAATGCAGCACATGACACCCGGTCCTACAATGCAGCACATGTGACACCGGTCCTACAATGCAGCACATGACACCCGGTCCTACAATGCAGCACGAGACACCCGGTCCTACAATGCAGCACATCACACCACCCGGTCCTACAATGCAGCACATCACACCCGGTCATCCACAATGCAGCACACACACACCGGTCTCCTACAATGCAGCACGTGACACCCGGTCCTACAATGCAGCACGTGACACCCGGTCCTACAATGCAGCACATCACACCCGGTCCTACAATGCAGCACGTGACACCCGGTCCTACAATGCAGCACATGACACCCGGTCCTACAATGCAGCACATGACACCCGGTCCTACAATGCAGCACATGACACCGGTCCTACAATGCAGCACATCACACCCTACATAACAATACAGCTCCAATCACCCAATAATTTACATTCGCTCAGCGGCATGACGACATTTCGCCATCTAGTGACAGAACCGATTAATTACAAGCTTGGGTGCTAAAGCAACGTGTTTCTTCTCTAAATCAAGCTCAGGGTTCCCTACTGACCCCGGGCCCTCGGGCAGCGCCTGAGTGCTCGATTGGTCAGTCCTCCCCTGTGAGTCACACATCCTCATACCGCTCATTTTATTTATGGGGTTATTTTTTTTTCTGCTGAGTTTCCTGAAATGTGTGACTTATTTTTACAATCTGTGTGGATAGAAAAGACATAGAAGGAAATGTGACACACGCCAGGAACACTTCACAACTACAGAAAATGTAAAATTGTTGGCGCTCTATAAATTCTGTATTATAATAAAAATAATAATATTTCACTAGATCTATAGGAAGCTTCAAGTAGAACTAAAGAAAGAACTTTTTTTTTTTTAATTTGGACAGAGTAATTATTTATTTATTTCAGGCACTTATATAACGCCATCAATGTACGCAGCACTTTCCATATATATTATACATTCACATCAGTCCCCGCCCCCGAGGAGCGTACAATCTAAGGTCCTTAACTCACATTTATACATACACATACTAGGGCCAATTTAGACAGGAGCCAATTCACCTACCAGCATGTCTTTGGAGAGTGGGAGGAAACCGGAGTACCTGGAGGAAACCCACACAGGCACAGGGAGAACATGCAAACTCGAGGCAGGTGGTGCCGTGGTTGGGATTTGAACCAACGACCTGACTACTGCCAGCAGAAGTGCTAACCATTTAGCCACTGTGCTACCCAATCCCTCAAGGGGTGTACAATTGAAGGTCCCTATGTATATACTGTGTGTTTGTATGTATTTATATATATAATATTGTACATTCACATCAGTCCCTAACCAGGGGCGGACTGACTATTTGGAAACTCGGGCACTGCCCAAGGGTACCGGGGTCAGTAGGGGGGCCCCATAAGATGCCCCTGGTACCTTTTTCGTAGGCTTTTATGCGTTTGGGCAAGGATACGGGGCCCCATGGTCCCCTATTGCCTGGGGGCCCCATGAGTTGTCAGTCTGCCCCTGTCCCTAACCCTCAAGGGGCATACAATCTAAGGTCCCTATGTATATACTGTGTGTATATATATATATATATATTTGTACATTCACATCAGTCCCCGCCCCCAAGGAACATACAATCTAAGGTCCCTAACTTACATTCATACATACACATACTAGGGACAATTTAGACAGGAGCCAATTCACCTCCCAGCATGTCTTTGGAGTGTGGGAGGAAACTGGAGTACCTGGTCGAAACCCACACAGGCACAGGGAGAACATGCAAACTTAAGGCAGGTGGTGTCATGGTTGGGATTTGAACCAACAACCCGAGTACTAGCCAGGCAGAAGTGCTAACCACTTAGCCACTGTGCTGCCCTAGTAAGCGCGAGTTGTCCCATTGGGGAGATTCCGGTTCCATAACCACAGAAACTGGGAGGAAATCCCTCCAAGGTGAGGGAATCCCCTGTGGTCACCAGAACTAGTGTCCCCATTGAAAGTTAGGGAGATTGTCACCAGCACATCCTCCATTTCTGATTCTGTTCGGTTCCAGCCGATGGTCGCTGCAGCGCCCCACTTATACACGCCGCCATTTTTAAACGTGTGCGTTTGGCTTGCACACTTGCCCGTTGAAAGTTATCCCTTTATTCCTGTTCTGGGGACAACCCAAAATTTGGGATCTTATGTCACTTATGATGACGGCAAACAGGACAAATAGCGAGGATGGATCTCCCTAATGGAAGCACAGATGGAAATACAAATCTGACCGGGGGTCTAACCCCTCTCCACCTCTTGGTGCCGGCCGCACGCAAATGTGCCGCCTCTTGGCGTCTGGGCCTTGAGGTCTCTTTCGATCGGGACCTTTCCCGATCATGTGACCGCCATGACAGCGAATCACGGTGGTCACATGACCCTAAAACCCTGCCCCCCCCTCCCAGCTTCTGAAACCCTGAAAGGGCCATGAGGCGCCGGCGCTAAGGGGTTAAACACTTCCCGTCCGGCCCATGTAGATAAACTGCTGGACGCAAGCACTGCCGAAGTGGGTAGACGTTTCTAAACGTACCCCCCCCCCCCCTGCATTCGTTACCTGTGTGCTCCCTGGGATCACTGTACGGGACCCTCTGTGTGAGCTCCCAATTCATGTGATCACTGATTGGCCAATCAGTGATCACATGAACAGTAGTAAGCAAGATGTCACTTCTGACATCATTGCTTACTACGTGTGAAATCTGTGAATGATCACAGAGATCACATGGTACAGGGCTATTCACAACAGCCTTGTACCATATGACAAGCTGTGACCAATCACAGCTCTCACCGTATTTCTCAATGGCTGCAAGAATGCAGCCAGAGAGAAGAAGAAATGATTGATTTTACAGCCTTTATGGGTGTAAAAGCAATCAGTGTAAAAAAAGAAAAAAAAATCTTCATCACCCCCCGCAAGTAGTACAGTGTCACCATGGTGACACTGTACTGCTAGGGTGACCGTATGTTTTAAAAAAAAACATAAATAATAATCCTCTTGTATTGAACTGTATTGTTGCTGTATTGTCTCCCATTATATTGTAAAGTGCTGAGCAAACTGTTGGCGCCATAAATCCTGTATAATAATAATAATAATAATAATATAAAAAAAAATATAAAAAAATGTTTTTAGAAAAATTATAAATTTTTGATTATAAACTAATTTGGGTTATATTTTTTTTTTTTACTAAAAAGTTAGATGAATACATTTTGGCCGAGATTTATGAAGAAAGATTATTTATTTGCAAAATTTTAAAACACTTTTTTTTTTTTAATTTTCGGACTTTTTCATTTATATAGCAAAAAAATAAAAATCCCAGCGGTGAATAAATACCACCAAAATAAAGCTTTATCTGTCTCAAAATAAAATGCTAAAAAATTCATATGGGTACAGTGTTGCATGACCGCGCAATTGTTATTCAATGTGTGATAGCGCTGAAAGCTGAAAATTGGCCTGGACAGGAAGGGGGGGAAAGTGTCCGGACTGGAAGGGGGTGAAAGTGTCCGGACTGGAAGGGGGTGAAAGTGTCCGGACTGGAAGGGGGGGAAAGTGTCCGGACTGGAAAGGGGGGAAAGTGTCCGGACTGGAAGGGGGGGAAAGTGTCCGGAGTGGAAGGGGGTGAAAGTGTCTGGACTGGAAGGGGGGGAAAGCGTCTGGACTGGAAGGGGGGGAGAGTGTCCGGACTGGAAGGGGGGGAAAGTGTCCGGACTGGAAGGGGGGAAAGTGTCCGGACTGGAAGGGGGGGAAGTGTCCGGACTGGAAGGGGGGGAGAGTGTCCAGACTGGAAGGGGGGGAAAGTGTCCGGACTGGAAGGGGGGAAAGTGTCCGGACTGGAAGGGGGTGAAAGTGTCCGGACTGGAAGGGGGGGAAGTGTCCGGACTGGAAGGGGGGGGAAGTGTCCGGACTGGAAGGGGGGGAGAGTGTCCGGACTGGAAGGGGGGGAGAGTGTCCGGACTGGAAGGGGGGGAAAGTGTCCGGACTGGAAGGTGGGGAAAGCGTCCGGACTGGAAGGGGGTGAAAGTGTCCGGACTGGAAGTGGGGGAAAGTGTCCATACTGGAAGTGGGGGAAAGTGTCCGGACTGGAAGGGGGGGAAAGTGTTTGGACTGGAAGGGGGTGAAAGTGTTTGGACTGGAGGAAGGGGTGAAAGTGTCCGGACAGGAGGGGGGGGGGGTTTCCGGACTGGAAGGGAGTGAAAGTGTCCAGACTGGAAGGGGGGGAAAGTGTCCGGACTGGAAGGGGGGGAAAGTGTCCGGACTGGAAGGGGGGGGGTGTCCAGAGTGGAAGGGGGGGAAAGTGTCCGGACTGGAAGGGGGGGGAAAGTGTCCGGACTGGAAGGGGGTGAAAGTGTCCGGACTGGAAGGGGGTGAAAGTGTCCGGACTGGAAGGGGGGGAAAGTGTTTGGACTGGAAGGGGGGGAAAGTGTCCGGACTGGAAGGGGGGGAAAGTGTCCGGACTGGAAGGGGGGAAAGTGTCCGGACTGGAAGGGGGTGAAAGTGTCCGGACTGGAAGGGGGTGAAAGTGTCCGGACTGGAAGGGGGGAAAGTGTCCGGACTGGAAGGGGGGAAAGTGTCCGGACTGGAAGGGGGGGAAAGTGTTTGGACAGGAAGGGGGAAGTGTCTGGACTAGAAGGGGGTGAAAGCGTCCGGACTGGAAGGGGGGGAAAGTGTCCGGACTGGAAGGGGGGGGAAAGTGTCTGGACTGGAAGGAGGGATAAAGTGTCCGGACTGGAAGAGGGGGAAAGTGTCTGGACTGGAAGGAGGGATAAAGTGTCCGGACTGGAAGGGGGGGAAAGTGTCCGGACTGGAAGGGGGGGAAAGTGTCCGGGGAAGGGGGGAAAGCGTCCGGACTGGAAGGGGGGGAAAGTGTCCGGACTGGAAGAGGGGGAAAGTGTCCGGACTGGAAAAGGTCCGGACTGGGGGGGGGAAAGTGTCCAGTGTGCACATGCTTCCTTGTATGTCTATAATCCACACACTTTGTAATAATAAGTCACATATTTCAGGAAACTCACCAAAAAAAAATTTCCATAAATATCATGCGAGGGGGTGGCATGTGTAATTGATGAAAGCTTCCGGATTAGAGTTCATCCCAAATTTTGGATGGTGTCAAATTCAGGTAGAATTTAATGTCAGTTATTTTTGGTGGTTCAGGTCCAAAAGCTGCATCCAAGGCTTTTTCTGCCCCATTCCTGCTTCTGCTGTTGCTTGGGCACCCTTAGCTTGATGCAGAGCTGGGACAAATTCCCTTAGCGCCCAAGGTGAAGAGGCTGGAGCCCACCCCCCCCCCCCTCTTTTCCTTCATGAGCTACAAGAAGCTGATGACATACCCAAGGAGGTTGCCTCCTCCCACATGGAAGAAAAATATATTTGAAATATATTTTAAAAATATTCTTCCCAAATATATTGACATATATATTTGAAATGCTACAATTTTGGCTGTGTTCAATATATTTAAAAAAAAAAAAAAAAATATATATATATATACACATACTGTACATACACACAGTATATATATATATATATATATATATATATATTATAATATATGTATATTTTAAAATTTTTTAAAAATTGAATATAGCCGCACATACACACACACTGCATGTTGAAATTCGTTTTTTATATTTTACAAAAGATATGAAAAATATTTTTAAAAATATATATTTTTTTTAAATATATTTTTCAGATTTTTTTTTTTCCTCCTAACAGCTTCTAGAAATCTGCCCTGGGGCAGAGCCCCCTGCACAGGGGTGTCCTTCAGAAGGATTGGACCCAGGAACACTGCTGCACCCTCTAACCTAGCCCTCAGACTATTTATGAGTTCTCTCACCACCTACTGGGCACACCTCGCCAGGAATCGGCTGGAGACCCATAAATATTCTGGCTGAATGCCCTGTCATTCCTCCCACTAAGTTCTAACATCCTCTAGAAGACAGGGGGAAGTAAAAGATCAGCAGCCTGTGAGACACTGAGTAGCCCTAAATAATCAAACCCTGCCTGCACTGATACAGAGGTGCCAGCTAAATTTACCTAGAAGCCCATCCTACTTCAGGAGGGTGCTACACTTATATAGGTGGCTGCCAAGGGACCAGTAACAAAGATGGAGAGCATCTGCTGGAAAGAGGAGTAAGATATTCTAACTTGTTCCTCACCCCCTAGACTTAATGAGGGGATTGGACTGGAGGAAGGGGGAGGGGGTAGTGCAACTGCAATTGTCATTTCTAGGGATGGCAATTCAAAACTGTCAGAATCTGCAGCATTCAACACTTCGGGGAGTATTGGATGCCTGTATTCCCCCCACCACACACTGTGGTTGCAACCCCTGACCCCAAATGTTGCTACAGGACTAAACGATGATGTAGGGGCAGAGGATGGAACCAATATTGCATCCCCCCCCCAACCCCATGTGGCCATCCTATCTTGCACCTACCCCCCTGATGATGTGCATGAGCAGTGAGTGTTTATCAGGGGAATGGCTGTAAGAACCAAAAAGAGACAGTTGGGTCTCTGATGCTGTGCCATGGCACATGTGCTGTAGATTGCCCCGAAGCCTCCTGGGATGTGTGATGGGTTATCCCTGGAGGCTGCCGGCAGCTGGACGATGTCTTTCTTGCCTAGGCAAGAAAACTGGAAATGCGGGGGCCAGGTTTCTCAAAAATGGTATTTCTAAAATAAATAAAATGTCCAATTGTGTAATGGGGGGTGTAGGGACTAAAATGATGGAAAATGACTGAAGAGAGTGAAGGCCTACTTGAAGATTTTAATTGAGGTTGCAGAGCTTTAACATGGTGAAGACCAACAAAGAGGTGAGTGACGGTGGACCAACAAAGAGGTGAGTGACGGTGTACCAACAAAGAGGTGACTTACGGTGGACCAACAAAGAGGCGAGTGACGGTGGACCAACAAAGAGATGAGTGATGGCGGACCAACAAAGAGGTGACTTACGGTGGACCAACAAAGAGGTGAGTGACGGTGGACCAACAAAGAGATGAGTGACGGTGGACCAACAAAGAGATGAGTGATGGCGGACCAACAAAGAGGTGACTTACGGTGGACCAACAAAGAGGTCAGTGACGGTGGACCAACAAAGAGATGAGTGACGGTGGACCAACAAAGAGGTGAGTGACGGTGGACCAACAAAGAGATGAGTGACTGTGGACCAACAAAGAGATGAGTGACGGTGGACCAACAAAGAGGTCAGTGACGGTGGACCAACAAAGAGGTGAGTGACGGTGGACCAACAAAGAGGTGAGTGACGGCGGATCAACAAAGAGGTGAGTGACGGTGGACCAACAAAGAGATGAGTGACGGCGGATCAACAAAGAGGTGAGTGACGGCAGGACCAACAAAGAGGTGAATGACGGCGGATCAACAAAGAGGTCAATGACGGTGGACCAACAAAGAGGTGAGTGACGGTGGATCAACAAAGAGGTGAGTGACGGTGGACCAACAAAGAGGTGAGTGACGGCGGATCAACAAAGAGGTCAGTTACGGTGGACCAACAAAGAGGTGAGTGACGGCGGATCAACAAAGAGGTGAGTGACGGTGGATCAACAAAGAGGTCAGTGAACGTGGACCAACAAAGAGGTGAGTGACGGCGGATCAACAAAGAGGTCAGTGAAGGTGGACCACCCAAGAGGTGAATGACGGTGGATCAACAAAGAGGTCAGTGAAGGTGGACCAACAAAGAGGTGAGTGACGGTGGACCAACAAAGAGGTGAGTGACTGTGGACCAACAAAGAGGCGAGTGACGGTGGACCAACAAAGAGGTGTGAGTGTGACGGTGGATCAACAAAGAGGTCAGTTACGGTGGACCAACAAAGAGGTGAGTGACGGCGGATCAACAAAGAGGTGAGTGACGGTGGACCAACAAAGAGGTGAGTGACGGTGGACCAACAAAGAGATGAGTGATGAGTGATGGCGGACCAACAAAGAGGTGACTTACGGTGGACCAACAAAGAGGTCAGTGACGGTGGACCAACAAAGAGATGAGTGACGGTGACGGTGGGTGGACCAACAAAGAGGTGAGTGACGGTGGACCAACAAAGAGGTGAGTGACGGCAGATCAACAAAGAGGTGAGTGACGGCAGATCAACAAAGAGGTGAGCGACGACGGATCAACAAAGAGGTGAGTGACGGCGGACCAACAAAGAGGTGAATGACGGCGGATCAACAAAGAGGTCAATGACGGTGGACCAACAAAGAGGTGAGCGACGACGGATCAACAAAGAGGTGAGTGGCGGTGGATCAACAAAGAGGTGAGTGACGGTGGACCAACAAAGAGGTGAGTGACGGCGGACCAACAAAGAGATGAGTGACGGCGGACCAACAAAGTGACGGTGAGGTGAGTGACGGTGGACCAACAAAGAGGTGAGTGACGGTGGATCAACAAAGAGGTGAGTGACGGTGGATCAACAAAGAGGTGAGTGACGGTGGATCAACAAAGAGGTGAGTGACGGTGGACCAACAAAGAGGTGAGTGACGGCGGATCAACAAAGAGGTGAGTGACGGTGGACCAACAACAAAGAGGTCAGTGACGGTGGACCAACAAAGAGGTGAGTGACGGCGGATCAACAAAGAGGTCAGTGACGGTGGACCAACAAAGAGGTGAGTAACGGCGGACCAACAAAGAGGTGAGTGACGGCGGATCAACAAAGAGGTGAGTGACGGTGGACCAACAAAGAGGTCAGTGACGGTGGACCAAACAAAGAGGTGAGTGACGGTGGGACCAACAAAGAGGTGAGGTGACGGTGACGGTGGACCAACAAAGAGCTGAGTAACAGCGGACCAACAAAGAGGTGAGTGACGGCGGATCAACAAAGAGTCATGTGTGAGTGACGGCGGATCAACAAAGAGGTCAGTGACGGTGGACCAACAAAGAGGTGAGTGACTGTGGACCAACAAAGAGGTGAGTGACGGTGGATCAACAAAGAGGTGAGTGACGGTGGACCAACAAAGAGGTGAGTGACTGTGGACCAACAAAGAGGTGACTTACGGTGGACCAACAAAGAGGTGAGTGACTGCAGACCAACCAAAGAGATGAGTGACGGCGGACCAACAAAAAGAGGTGAGTGACGGTGGATCAACAAAGAGGTGAGTGACGGTGGATCAACAAAGAGGTGAGTGACGGTGGATCAACAAAGAGGTCAGTTATGGTGGACCAACAAAGAGGTGAGTGACGGCGGATCAACAAAGAGGTGAGTGACGGTGGATCAACAAAGAGGTCAGTGAACGTGGACCAACAAAGAGGTGAGTGACGCGGATCAACAAAGAGGTCAGTGAAGGTGGACCAACAAAGAGGTGAGTGACGGTGGATCAACAAAGAGGTCAGTGAAGGTGGACCAACAAAGAGGTGAATGACTGTGGACCAACAAAGAGGCGAGTGACGGT